GAAGCAATTCTCATGATCACTGTGTCTAACTACTCATCCTAGGCTGCACCCTGATTCTATTAAAATTTAGAATTCAAAGGGGCCAGGGATTTAACTCAGCAACAAAGCACCTGCCTGGTAGCACGTGGTCCTGAGGCTGATTCTTGGTAGCTTCCACCAAAAAGAAAAAAAAAAATCAAAGTATTATTTGTTAATGTAGATACATTTTCAAGCTTAAGATTCAGCATCTTGAATACAGGTGTAGTTAATATTGATTTGGCTGAAAATTATGTTAATAATTAATAGTTTACTAGTCTTTGTCATACAAAGCAAAATGTCTAAAAATTTAATAGACATGTGATATTTATATATTTTCACTTTTTCATGTATTTTGATTTTTTTAACAAAGTAGGTTATATGGCTAGAGAGAGTAATGGATTGACCTTGATAAAAAAATCACAGAAACTCAGAACTGTTCTTAGCCTGTTTCTCTGCTATTGCTTACATAGCTACACCATGAATACTTGAAATTTATTGATAGCATCACTAATGGGTGTCTTTTTTCCTCCTTGAAGTTAAGATTAGAGAATACTGGGATGTGTGTGCATGTGCGTGTGCATGTGCATGTGTGTGTGTGCATGTGTGCGAGAGAGAGAGAGAGAGAGACAGACAGACAGACAGAGACATACGACACAGAGAGAATGAAAAGGATACACTACTTGATTTTTTTATCATTCTTAGTGTAGATTTTCAGGGCCAAAACCACAGCGCTTTTGTTTTCTTGATGTTTTACTGAGTTCTTTATACAAGTTGGAGTTTACCTATTAATATAGTCTCATATTAGATACATACGAGAGAAGAGAAAAACATATGCTTCCAAAGTGAAATCATGAATTCTCTGTGCATTGTATGACCTCGCTGAGAAGTTAGTTCAATAGCTAGAAGACAAGAAAAATTAGCCTGACTTATTCAGGTATGGATTATCCGATATGGTTATTAAATCATTATTGGGCAAGTGTAATAGAAGTTGCTTCAAATTATGCATCACTTTGAACAAACTTTATTGAAGCTTTTACTGCATTAGCCCTAATTACTCACAATAATGATGCAGCACTCCCTTGAATCAGAGCTCCTTGGCTGCGCCAGGGGACCGCAGTGGATCAATAGCTATTGAGCAGTTTGATCACGCAGGCTGACCTGTTGGAGAACTGTGGCAGCCACTGCCAGCCCTCCCTTCTTCCCTCTCTCCACTCAGCTCACACACTGATTTGTTCTTAGCTGGCCACCCTCTCCTGAAACTGCTCTCCTGCTCTCCTGCTCCTCGGACAAATCAGTAACTTCATAAACAGCATGCATCTTGGACTCTGTGAAATTAAAAAGTTACCTTAAACAAAAATTTCGAGGTGTCTTTATGCATGTTTAAATCCACTTCTCACATTCTTAAGCTACAAAAGACATTTAAATCTTTGACCAACAAATATTTCTCCTGTATTGTAATGATTACAAAATTAGGTGAGAAATTTTCATTTTTAAAACTATACTGAAGAGCATCCATTTGAAAAATTACTGTTAATACTACAGACCAATCAATTATTTGACAAATATTTACCAACAGTCTGTTAATGTGCCTGTCAAATGTTTTCCATCTGATTGTTAAGCGATTTCAAGATCCAGTATGTCTTCTCAGCTGTCTTCTATGTTCAGTCCTGAGTAAGCACACGGCTCCTCTTCTGAACCATTCATTTTATTCAGAATATTTACTGAGCCACTATTATATGTAAGGAACTGTGTAGTAGTTTAGCATCCATTATTTTTACTTGTTTATTTTTAGCATACATTATATTTAAATGAAAGGAGTATCTAATTAATTGAATTATGTCAGAATCTTATCTCTAAGTGACATCTTAAATTAATTTTATTTCACAAGCCATAGAATTTAACTTTTATTTCCTTTTTTTTGTTCCTAAAGTTGTCTGCTTTCCAAATCATCTCATAGAAATGATAACTTATTAGAAAACAGGTTATAAATAAGTACTACATAAAGCCAAAAGTAATTGTAAACTACTTTGCTTTTAATGAAGGATGAAGGCATTTTCAAAAAAGTAAAAATCAAGTGAGTTATCTCATCAGGAATACACATGATTATTGTATATGTACCCCGTTATAGGGACTCAAACTCAGAAACTATTGATGGCCTACTGTTTGATTGTGCTCAGAGCTCTCTCTAGCCTGGTTTGGTTAGAAGGACCTACATGCTCTGTGAGACTTCTCCAAAGAAGTAGGGGACCTGTTATGATTGCTTTGATCTAAGAAGTCCTCTCTCATGTATTCAGAGATGCTTTTTGAAAGTGAGTAAAACATGCGGGCCCTCACTTTATCAAGGACTGGTATATTGATGGATTCGTAATTTGATGATATTACTGGGAGGTCATGGAAACTGACAAGGTCCGGTATAGCTGAGAACTATAACTTGCTGTTCTCCTCAGTTGTCTCACCCACTCTACTTCCTGGTTGCCTTGAAGTGACCAGCTCTGCCCTTATGACACTGTATTCTGCCTCAACACAGACCCATAACAATGAAGCCAGACAAACACAGACTGAACCAAAATAAAGCTTTCCCTTTTAAATTGATTTCTCAGGTATTTTGTCACAAGGACTAACCCACGTCCACAGTTAAGAAGAAAGCAATCTGTCTTTGCTCAGGTTGGCCCACAACAGAAGTGGGGTTCCACTGTAAATCAGGCAATAAATCAGAAAAATTGGGTTTCAATCCAATAGCATGAGTTCAGGCGAATCCCACAATCTTGGGAGGTATCCTTTACTGCACATGTGAAACAGTATTGGATATGAGCCCAGCCTGTGTGCTCCCAACTCTCTCAGGTTTGTGGGAAGCTGTTTATCTATGGAGAGTGAAATCTCAGGAAGGTCTGGCTTCCAGCACCTGGAGTAGATCTCTGGCTTGTTTCTCCCCCAAAGTTCTGAGACCTGAAAATAGACCAAATCTGTGCAATTCTCACAGGGGTCTCATGTGTGTACTGCCAAAACTAAACAGCAAGTTCCTGTCCTGAAAGTGTCCTCATATGGGAAAGTTTTGACTCAGCTCTGATTACTGGACAGGCAGGTTTAAAAGTCTGTATCCTCAGGTTTTTTCATCTGTGTGGCACAATTGTAAATGACTAACCAGAAGCAAGCAGACGAGGTAAGCCCCTAGAAGCATGTGATCCCAACAATGGCATCTTTCACATCGAATGGAAAGAGTGCTGGAAGGAAATGAAGGACCACCTGTCTTTGGCCCCTGGGAAATATCTCTGGTTGGCAAGTAAAAGCAGAAACATACAGGCTAATATCTGCGTCCATAAAGAGAGGACTCAGTGCTTAACTTCAGACAAGGTTGAATCATCAGAGTGGATAGTGCAGACCTAGGTCCATGTCTTTCGTTCCAGCTAAGTGGAGTCCTCCTAGTATCCAGCAATGGCACCAATGCCCACCTCTGGCTTCTCAGAATGCTACTGACCCATCACACATCACTGGTGTCTTTCTCCTCATTCTTCTGTGACTTTCTTTCCTTGGACTTCTTGTTTTTTATGGCATGGGGTATCTAGTATCTACTATTTCCATGAAAAACTGCTCATTTCATACCAAGTGTGTGAAAAGTATGAAGGTTCATGATCATTTTTGAAAGGTGACCTTACTCCTTCAGATCAAGATTTCCCAAATAACTGGGGAAAATACTGTGTCCAAGAGATATGAAGAGTTTACCCTCTAAAAATAAGCTATGTAATCACATGAAATTATAGAATTCTGTGCCTCTTTCAGATAATCTTCTAATATACATTACTCAAAAGCTGGTAGGTATATAGTCAACTTGAATTCTCTGTCCAAAGCACCCACTGAATGAGAAATGAGATTAGTTACCAATTAATGACAAGTCTATTCTTTGGATTTTAATTATAATAGCTATGTCCAAATACTAAAACTATGAAAAATACATGTTTACCAAAGAAATGTACCATAATTATGTTATGATCACAGCAAGAATCTAAGTCACGGACTCTGTCTCTGAGGTGCACACAATTTTGCTACAGGGGAGATTTTAGTAGGGTAGTCTATGAAAGGTGCTAAATGGACAGTAGCAACTCTGGCTTCCATAGGCATCTGCGGTAGCTATGACTGGTTGGGCCTTTAAGATCTATAGCATAGGAACCGGAAGTAAGACTGCTTCAAGTACAGGTACTAGGCCACTTCTAAGACCCGTGTTCTTTGTGGCAGGGCCGAGCTTGGTAAAGTGGGGTTGGTACTGGGGGTTGCGGGAGATAGTGTAGGAAACAGAGGAGGGCAGAGGTGGCAGAGATAGGTGTTAAAAACTCAGACTATCTGAATAAAGAGCTCCATTATTGGTCAGTACTCTAGGAACTATTAGGCGATTTGTGAAACCATAGGTAAACATATCACTGCCTCAGAGAAACTCCGTGATGACTGTCTTCCATCCCTGATGAGCAAGGGAGGTCATGAAATGAAGTGCCTGAGATCATGGCTTTGGAATCCTAAGTATCCACAGGTTGTTGTAACAGTCACCTTTTTCTTCTTAATAAATAAGGATACAAACTTTTATTTCACAGAGTTCTTTGTGAGTTACATTAAATTATATATAAAATTATATAAAGCGTGTATATACAGTATAGATACATTTATATGTAATATATATTTCATATATTTCCCTCATGTGGGAATTCTTATATACTATGGCTCCGTGAAAAGCAATAAGTATTGTTACTATTCAGTCGCTCTTCACTAGACCAGAAAGGACCTTTGCCTCCAAGTTGGCCTTTATTTTTTCTTCCTTTTCTAGACATTCTCCCAGGTGAAAAACCCAGTGCTGAAACACCTTTCATGCCCAGTATCCGTGGGAGGTTGGTTCAGCAGAAAACTCTTACTGTACCCAACAGTCTGGTAGACTGTGGTAGACTTGTGCCACCCTCAGTTTCAGGACCCTGAATCCAAAGCATTTGAAACGTGCTCACCTGCATCTGACGTTGCTGTGGAGGCAGCCAGGAGAGATAATACTGGGGCTGGTGGAATTGCAACACTGTCAACTGCAGCTGGCTTCTTCCTGGTCATCATGGTGGACACTGGAACCTCGTTCTTACTGTGTGCTGTTGTCTGGTCCACTTTCAAGTGGGGACTTGGCATCCCTAAAAAACAGTAACCCCCAAACCTGCAGTTGATTTAAAGGAACAGGAAGAATATCAACCTGAATATGCTCGAGAAAATAGCCAAATGATTTGATCACTTTGTGGTACAAAAATAATGAGAATCTAGAATATTTAAGGAAAAAAGTAGCAGTGATTTCCTGTTTCTGGCCTGGAAGTGTGAGGCAGTCAGAGGCCTCAAGTACTCTTTAGCATTCTGAGATCTACCAGCCTGAGCCCATAAAAGTTACTGTCTGTGTACACCAAGAAGGGGGCCTTGTGAGGCTTCCAAGGTAGTTAGTTTTCTCTCATGTCATTCATCTTGGAAGAAAAGAGTAGGCAACAAATTCATACAGGCATGTGTGCTGCTCATCCCAGGTGCCAGAGGAATTCTAAAAGACAGGAGGCAAAACTGCAGAGCTCCTGCTAGACTAGGGTGGAGACTGGGGAGGCATCCTTGGTGCTGAGGATAACGTATGTATATCACGCATGGGGATGAACAGGACCAGAGAGGGAATCAACCGAGGTGCCCATCAAAGGATTAACAAATGAAGACAATGTGGTTTATAAACCCAATTTAATATTATTCATCCAGAAAGAAAAATGAAATCTTGTCGTTTGCAAAATAAATGGAACTGAATGGCATTGTTAGGGAAATTAGCTAGACACAGAAAGACAAGAACTACAAGTTCTCTGTCTTCTAAAGAAGTTAAAGAAAAAGTCAACCTAAATGTGGGATAGTGACACTAGAGGGTGGGAAGGGGTATGGGAGGGTGGATACTGGGAGGCTGGAATTGAAAAGTGTGTGCTGTATGCCTGTGTTGAAATATCATACTGAAGTTTACTAATGTGTACAATTAATTCGTATTCATTTAAAACTAATGTTTAAAAAGGCAAATCAACTGGAGGCAGGAAATGTACTGAAATTACAGGGAAATAGCAGTCACTAAACTAAGGAAGAAATTTGGGAACCTTTGACAGTCTGGTCCTAACACATTCGGTAAGTCATTATTATGGTGCAAAAGCCTGATAAACACTTGTGAGCTTTTTTGGAACATTGTTTCTGGAGCTTGAATCCAGGTTCTGCCACTTCCCTGATGTGTGAAGAAGAGCAAGTTGCTTAACCTCCTCATGCTTTACAGTTATAGTTTTAAATTTTACAATTGCATGGTTAGCTTTCTTAAGAGTAAAACTAGCGACAGTCCTACTTTGTAGGTGCTGTTGGGTTCGTCCAATAAGAAAGTTAATGTAAAGTAGTTAGAACAATGTCTAGCACACAGTCCACACTATGTGTCTACATTAGTAGTAGTAGTAGAAGTGGTCGCATCATAATTACAATAATCCATTGTTTTCTCAGAACTAATTTTAGCTAATAAGATTTAGTTTTCTTTTCTGACATGATCAAGGACTTGTGGGAACCTTCAACATCTCCCATTGCAAAAATATGAGCATCCATCTCATTCAAGCCTAAGTCTAGATTCTGAGGCTACCTGATCCATGTAGAATGGTCCCCTATTCCATTTCTTCATCTGTATGCTACCTGCCACCGCTGACAGCAACAACAGAAAACTGGGTTTCATCACAGTAGTCTTTAATAGCATTTTTTCATCCCAATCAACCTGAAATGATACAGTTCTTTCCCAGAGTAACATTATCTCACCGCCACAGTGAGGTCAGTTCTACTTGGGCCTTGTAGCAACCCTGTGAAGCATGTAGTGTGGATATTACTATTTTCTCAATTTTACAGATGAAGAAAACACATTTCTGAGAGCTTACGGAAAAGCTGCATAAACTGATGCCAGTCAATGTCAGAGCTTGGAGTTTCCAGGTAACCAGATGCTAAACCTAGGATCATCTTGTTCTACCCGGGTACACTCTGATGCCTGGCATGAGCCCAATCCATGAAGCATGCTTCATATTGAGGATTCAGAGGCCCTAGTGTCAGTACCTGAAAAAGCTAACTGTAACCATAAGGAAAAGGTCACACTTCTACTCCTTTCCTCCTGCTCTCCATTCTGGTCTCTAAAACTCCTTTTTGCAAGGCTATGAATAACAGCATCATTTGTGCTTGTTTGGAGTATTGTAAAGCATTTTGACAGCAGAGACAGACAAATACCAAATTGTATGCAGAAAGATTGTAAGGCACCACTACTGAGATGTGAGTATGTGCACAGTGTGTCCTGTTGGTAAAAAGTACAGTCGTGACAGTGACAGGCTACATCCAGGCATCCTGTACACTTCAAGTGCACAGAGGACCATCTGTAAGGAGACCCATCAGAATAGCATTCTGCTACTCTGAGCAAGGAGGTCTCTGGGAAGCTTTGTAGGAAGGAATCTTCACACTCCCTTGCTACCTTTATTAATATCTTTAAAATACAAACATATATTAAATTTCATTTTTCCACAGAAAGAATGAGTTTCTGGACAAATCTAGAAGTCTGTCAGAGCAGGCCGGAGCCTGAGGACAATTCCCCATTTTGGTTCCCTGTACCATCAAAGCGCCATTACCCATAAACAGAAGCAGTCCTGGAACTGAAGCTTTAAAGTTCTCTCATTTGGACAACTATGCCTCTGGAAAAATTCACTAATCTGTCATCCTTATACCTAAGGCCACCAGTACTTTTTGTTTAAATTATGCTATGCTTGGGGAATGAAGGTAATAAACACGATTAAGAGCAGAATATTTAACCCTCACTTGGGAACAAACTGATTTCAAGTCATTTCAGTTGTACCCATTTTCATGCAAATGTTCACATTCTAAATTAGTCTCAGTCCGTAACATCTCATTAAAGTTGATCTGCTCATACTCTGTTGGGCATACTTTGCCACTCAAGTGTTTATGTTACAAAATTTGTTAAATGTAATAAAATGACACTTAAAACAGTCTGTCATTCAGATTGTCACTGTTCAGCTTGTTCAAAAACCCTGATAATGTAGGATTTTTCTGGGTTACAATACTGCCTGCTAGTTGTCAATTTTTGAAAACAAATTGAAGAAAAAAGAAACAATGCAAAAAGTAACTAAACAAACAAACAACAAAAACCCCAAAAACCAGTCCTGATTTTCTCTTAGTCATTTTTGAGTCTTGAAGGCTAATGGAAATCATTCCAGAATGACATAAATGGGCAAGAATATCAGATAAACTTTAAACGAAGGCTTATTCAAGGGCCCTCACTAAGTGACAAAATCAGTCTGAGATCAGAGGTCTTGAGAGGCTGGAATGGGTGACATCCCTCAGAAAAGAGCACTAGGAGGTAGTCCCTAGAATTCCAAACCTTAATTCCTTAAAATTAAGGAATCTCTTAATTCCAAGTGAAAACAGATGCTCCCTGGTGTGGGAGGCCAAAGTTGTGGGACATCTGGAGAGGTTTTTCCCTACCTGAGCCTGGGGTCTTTCCCTCCACAGGAAGGGTTTTGGAATCTGGAGGTAGATCATAAAAACAAAACAAAACAAAACAAAACAAAACAAAGCAAAACAAGAGAGCTTTGTATTGGCTGAAATATTGAGGTGCAGTACCCCTGCCTGAGTCTGGGAAGCAAATTGCTGTCTAAATTCAGAAAGCAGAGTAAATGGAGAAAACTCACGGTAGATGAGTTCTGAATATCGCTATACTTAACACAAGACATACTTAAGTGTATATTTAAAGGAGGGAAAAAGAAATGCTAATAATTTGTGCATCCAGCATCTGTTCATAATTAAAAGACAGAGCCTAGAGGAAATAGAAAAAAAATTAAACCGATATGAGAACATTCTTTTATAACCTGTTGACCACTATTGATAAACTTGGAAAAAAAAATCTTTGAAACTGTGCTGTAACCTATCAAGGGACAGCCACTCATTTTCAAAGGTAATTTCTCATAGACCATTTATCCTCTCAAACCTCTACCTGCACACCGTGTTTGCATTAGGGACTTGATTTATAGATTCCTACTCCTGTAATGCAGAAGCTGACTTCCTGTTGCCTTGGTTACTTGGAACTCAGTTCAAGGTTAAACTACTCCCAAATCAAAATCAGTGGCATGCACTGCATCTCCGGGCCAGGTTATTGACTGCCCTAGGATGCAAAAAGGTCAGAGACCAAAGCACTGTTGATTGCCTTAAGGGTGAGTCAATAGCTTCAATATTTTGATGCTGTTTCTTTTAAAGGAGTAGTTGCTGGTCAATTAGCTCTTCCCCAGGTTGCCTAAGGTCACAGAGGTCATGACAGAAAATCAGGGTCTGTGGTGGCTAACTTTCCCAGGATCCTTTTAATAAATTTTGTAACCTAGGATAATAAAAACTAGGAGTAATGTTTATATAGTTTTGAGGTTTATATAGTTACCTACTTTATCATTTCTTTGTAGGGGGAAGAAACAAAAACAGTTTTGAGGAGTGGTTACTATTTACTCCTCTTTTCCAGATGAGAAAAATGGAGGTGCAGAAAGGTCATGTGATTTATTTAAATCACACAATTGGTAAGAGGTGCCAAGGTCTAGATCCTCTGATTTCCTGGTGGTCTTCATTCCACGGTCTCCTCAAAATACAGAGTTAATGGAATCATCACCAAGGGATCACATGTAATTCATATTGCAACATTCACTGCAGAGAACAGTATACCTGGCAGACGGTATATGATTAATACAGGCTTGTTGAATGACTTACATTAATTTTCCATTTCTAAAATTTGCAAATGTAGGTGTTTCCTGGTAAGAGAGTCTAAGCTAGCTATGGTGGGACAGGTTGATGCTACTGGGAGGTTGATCCCTTCAACCACCTCCCTGGTCCCCTGTGCACTTCAGAATGGAGGCAGTGGCATGATTTGAGATTAAGATATATTGAACAATTAATGGTTTTTAATCTTGTGAAGAGTTTAACATGCATTAGGCTATTTTTCTCCTTATAGCATCTTTATGGATGATAAGGGGTAGACAGTGAAACTTTTAGTTAACAAATGAGCAAACAAGACCAGGTGATTGTCCAAGCCCACAAGTGTGGGTAAAGGAGTGCTGAAATCCATGCCTCT